AGTTGTGGGGACTGAAGGTCCCCGCCTTCCCACAGTTCCCTCAGTCCTCTCCTCACCCAGGTCCTTCCCAAGCAGTCTGAGTCATTGCCACTGTGCCTGACTTTGCTCCACACTCTTCATACCTCTTCTGGTTCTGGGAGACCAGGGGGAGGGAAGCTTGTCACAGCAGGAGAGGAAGATGCTCTGGCTCCTTCACCAGCCTGGCTCATCTCTGCCTCTTGGCCCACCTCCTCTCCAGCCTCTGCTTCTGGATGGCTCTTTTCCACAGACTTCTCCTGCTCACTAAACCCCGTTGCCTCCTCAGCTTCCAACACCTCCACCTCCCAGTCTGTTCCTTCTCCCTCAGATCACTCATTGCCGTCGCATCACCAGTCCCTTGGATCTGGGCCTTCATCCCCTGGGAGTTCCCCAACTGGTTCCTCCCCCCCCCCCCTGCATCCAGCCAGTCCGTGATAGAGAACTTTACTAATACTCTGGTATGTTATTACAGTGGTACCTCGGGTTAAGTACTTAATTCGTTCCAGAGGTCCGTTCTTAACCTGAAACTGTTCTTAACCTCAAGCACCACTTTAGCTAATGGGGCCTCCAGCTGTTGCCGCTGCGCCACCGCTGCCCGATTTCTGTTCCTGAAGCAAAGTTCTTAACCCAAGGTACTATTTCTGGGTTTGCGGAGTCTGTAACCTGAAGCATCTGTAACCTGATGTGTCTGTAACCTGAAGCGTATGTAACCCGAGGTACCACTGTACTGCATTTGGGAAACTGATGAATTGAGGCTGCAACCCTAAATCCACTTCCCTGGGAGTAAGATCCATTGGATTTTAATAGGACTTGCTTCTGAGTAGATATGTTTGCTGATGAAACTCCCACTGGCTGTTCACCAAAATCGAATGGAGGTGTGGCGTCTGAGCTCTGTATTAGTATGATGGAAGGGAGTATCGAGAAAGCAGCAAGAAACAGCTCCAGACCTCTCTGGCTTTAACCCTCAATGTCCTGGACCCACACAGACCTTGTCCCTAGAACAGCTTATGCTCGGCTACGGGGCCGATTTGATGCATGTGGTGGTGGGGAGAACCACAGACCTTTCCCCATCTGTTCCCTTGGCACTCCCGATGGGGCAAGGTGAGAGGCCAAGAGAAAGCTGTGCGGTTGCCATAGCGATGGAGACTTAACCCCACAGGGGAGAGAGCAAGGCACCTGATCTCAGCAGAGGGCTTGACACACGCAGGCACCCTTCCCCTTGTCCTGCGTGACCCACTTCCCCAGTTTGGGCAGAAGCATCTTGCGGAGGCCAATGCGCTTTCATTAACAGGATTAGCACCTTCAGTGTGTTGGGAAAGGTGGGGGCGGGGAGGGGAGGAAGAGTAATATATATGTATATATTGCCATGCAATTTCTGCATGCATTCTGTATGCTATTTAATTTATGCACACTTTACCCCAGCATATGTATTTCTGTACACATCACTTGGCTGGAGAATTGCAATGCAAAATTGGGAGAAATGAATATTTCCAAGAGTTGCTATCTGGAGGCGGTTGGAGGATGGATGGCGGCTAATGGATTGAGGTTGAATCCTGACAAAACAGAAATATTGTTTCTGGGGGCAGAGGCGGGCAGGTGTGGCGAACTCCCTGGTTCTGAATGGGGTAGCTGTGCCCCTGAAGGACCAGGTGTGCAGTGTGGGAGTCATTTTGGACTCACAGCTGACCATGGAGTCTCAGATTAATTCTGTGTCCAGGGCAGCTATCTACCAGCTCCATCTGGTATGCCAGCTGAGGCCTTACCTGCCTGCGCACTGTATCGCCTGAGTGGTACATGCGCTGGTTATCTCCCGCTTGGACTACTGCAATGCATTCTATGTGGGGCTACCTTTGAAGGTGACCCAGAAACTACAACTACTCTAGAATGTGGCAGCTAGACTAGTGATTGGGAGCTGCCGCTGGGACCATATAACACCAGTTCTGAAAGACCCAGTATGTATCTGAGCACAAAGTGTTGGTATGGACCTTTAAAGCCCTAAATGATCTCGGCCCAGTATACCTGAAGAAGTGTCTCCACCCCCATCGTTTAGCCTGGACACTGAGGTCCAGCTCCGAGGGCCTTCTGGCAGTTCCTTCACTGTGAGAAGTAACACTACAGGGAACCAGGCCGAAGGCCTTCTTGGTAGTAGCGCCCGCCCTGTGGAATACCCTCCTATCAGATGTTAAGGAAATGTGTAATTACATAACATTTAAGAAACATCTAAAGGCATCCCTGTATAGGGAATATTTTTAAGGTTTGATGTTTTACTGTGTTTTTATATATGCTGGAAGCTGCCCAGAGTGGCTGGGGCAACCAGTCAGATGGTCAGGGTGCAAATAAATGATGATGATGATGGTGATGATGATGATGTCTCAGGGCTCATCTACAGTTACTTTTGCTCCACACTTCTAGGCATAGGTCAGGTCCACGTCTGACAGGTGTCCATCCCCCCTCCCCCTTCTCGTTCCTCCACACAAATCCTGATTCAGAGCAAACAGCAATTCATGGAAACCCCGAATCTCCTTTTGCTCCGATTCTACACTAAAGAGTGGGTTTTCCTGGAGAAAGCTGGTGGGGAGGGGGGAAAGCTCAGACACAGACCAGCAAAGTGTGGTGCAAAAGTTAAATTTGAATGATGTGTTAGTTGTCATACTGTGTTGGAAAGTGCGAATTAGGTTTGCCCATAAATGTGAGTGGAACCAAATATCTCCCACACCAGTGCTGTGTTGCTCTGCGGAAAACGTCCGATGGGCTTCTGTGACCTGCATTTGTATGCAAGCCATGAGTGGACTTTTATGCAAGGTTCCTCAATTGCCCTTTCTTCTGAGCTAAAAGCCCCTGTAGGAATTCCCCCTTCACCCTTTCACCCGGGACGGTTTTTCTTACAGAAAGTGACTAAATATTCCCATATAGTACAGGGAGCTGACATTAACGAGCAGCTAATTAACAGCACTGATCTTGACAATTCCAGTGTCAGAACCCCTAATTAGTCTCACATTCTGCTTTAATCAACTGTCCCTGTCACGGTTTTAATTTAATTTCGGGATCAGGGGCTGAAGCGCAACAAGTGGAATGTTGTTGCAGAAGAAGGAAGTGGGGAGGCAGGCTTAACCCCCCTACCCCCCGCTAATCCTTCCAATCCTTCCATTCTACCGCATTTATTTATTTAAAAATGTATACCCCGCTTTTTCTTTGTACAATCAACTCAAAGCAGCTTCCAAGCACTTTAATAAGGCACAGTAAAGACGTCCTGATTTTCTCAAATCAGTGTTGTCTAATGGCCATGGAGCCCCAGAGCCACATTGCCTTAGAGAGCAACATTCCAGTGGCTACATGCTGGGCATGGGTGGGAGTCAGAGGCAAAAAAGTGGGCAGGGCAAGGGATGTGCCTTTACCTGCATACAGTCGGTCTTGCAAAAGTCAAAGGCATCTGCACGAAACCCCAATACATGGACCTCCCCAGGCATCATCCAGGCAAGCCAGGCAACAAGCACTCAAGGAAAGCAGGGATTTGAATCCTGGTCTCCCAGGTCCAAGTCCAACGCTCTAGCCTCTATGCATTGGATTTCTATTTAAAACACAGCTATTATTTCCAGGCTTATAGCTTGTACATGGGCCAATGTTACGCAGATCCCTGTCCTCTTTTGCCCCCTATTTTGATGATGCATTTCCTAGGTTTTGGCAATGCGTCATTGACCACTCTATAAGTCCTCTTCCCCACAAGCTGCTTCCTCAAACCAGGGTTCCAGATGTGTACATTCTGTCCTGGGACACTCAGTTAATGAAGTTCAGTTTGGGGAAGGACCACATACCCTGATGAAAATAGGGGTGTCAATAATAATACAGTGGTACTTTGGGTTAAGTATTTAATTTGTTCCGGAGTTCCGTACTTAACCTGAAACTGTTATTAACCTGAAGCACCACTTTAGCTAATGGGGCCTCCCGCTGCCGCCGCGCCACCAGAGCACGATTTCTGTTCTCATCCTGAAGCAAAGTTCTTAACCTGAAGCACTATTTCTGGGTTAGCGGAGTCTGTAACCTGAAGTGTATGTAACCCAAGGTACCATAATAATAATAATAATAATAATAATAATAATAATAATACTCCCATCTGACTGGGTTGCCCTAGCCAGTCTGGGCAGCTTCCAACATATATAAAAAAGGTAAAGGACCACTGAGAGTTAAGTCCAGTTGCAAATGACTCTGGGGTTGTGGTGCTCATCTTGATTTACTGGCCGAGGGAGCCGGCGTTTGTCCACAGACAGACTTTCCGGGTCATGTGGCCAGCTTGACTAAGCTGCTTCTGGCGAAACCAGAGAAGCACACAGAAACGTCGTTTACCTTCCTGCTGGAGCGGTACCTATTTATCTACTTGCACTTTGACGTGCTTTCGAACTGCTAGGTTGGCAGGAGCAGGGACAGAGCAACGGGAGCTCACCCCATCATGGGGATTCAAACTGCCGACCTTCCGATCGGCAAGCCCTAGACTCAGTGGTTTAGACCACACACACAAAAAAAATTTAAACTTCCCTATACAGGACTTCCTTCAGATGGCTTGGGGTTGGATGACTCCCTACTCTTGGAGAAAATAGGGACATCCTAGGAAAAGCAGAACATTCCAGGATCAAATCAGAAACTGGGATGGCTTCTGTAAATCCAGGACTGTCCCTGGAAAATAGGGACACTTGGAGAGTCTGGGATCATAGCTCAGTGGTAGAGCATCTGCTTTGAGTGCAGAAGGTCCCAGAAGGTCCTTATGTTCCTTTCCCCTTCCCTTTTAAAGCAAGTTTCTTGTGCCATAGAGATAAGCCATGTGGATCGCTTTGAGGTGAGTCAGTCCTGAAGGGCTCATGGAACAGTTTGATCTAGTGCACTTATCCCTGAACGCAGCAGAGTGGTTCAGAGCGAAAGCCAGGAAGGCTGCAGAGTTAGTGATCATGGGAACATAGGGTTGCATCCAGCTAAATTATGCTTGGGGTGTTGTCTGGTGAGATAGCTCAGTTGGTAGAGCATGAGACTCTTAATCTCAGCGTCATGGGTTTGAGCCCCACATGAGGCAAAATATTCCTGCATTGCAGGGGGTTGGAATAGATGACCCTCGTGGACCCCTCCAACTGTACACTTCTATGATTCTATCACTGTTAGACCACTTTAGGAACTGTGGATCTTGGAGAGGAGTAGGGGCCTCCTAACAACACGCAACACCAGTCATGAACTACAACTTCTAGAAATCGTTGGGGGAAGCCCATACCCTCCAACATTTCTCCAATTAAAATAGGGTCGTCCCATTCCATAATGATAATTTTACTATTTATATCCCACACATGTTACAGGGTTGCCCCAGCCACATTGGGCAGCTTCCAACATATATAAAAACATAATAGAACATTAAATATTATATAGTTTTCCCCTTTGGTATACAGCAGGGATGTCCAGCAGGTCAATCACAATCTACTGATAGATCCCCAGGAGGTTTTGGTAGACAGCAGATGATTGCTGGGTCCATTTCCTTAGTGCTGGTAAAAGAGAATCCATCCCCGCCCTCCATTGTTGCACGACCTGCAGAATGGAAGACGGAGTTAACTCAGTGAGGCTGTATGTTTCCCCAGAGACCTGTTGGCAAGTGGCTGTTCCCCTTTCTTCCCAAAAACGGCCAACAGTTTAGCCTTGAACTCCCCAAAAATGGGGGTAGATCACTGCCAGTACAGTGGTACCTCGAGTTGCATACGCTTCAGGTTACAGACGCTTCAGGTTACAGACTCTGCTAACCCAGAAATAGTACCTCGGGTTAAGAACTTTGCTTCAGGATGATAACAGAAATCGTGCTCCGGCAGCACGGCGGCAGTGGGAGGCCCCATTAGCTAAAGTGGTGCCTCAGGTTAAGAACAGTTTCAGGTTAAGAATGGACCTCCGGAACAAATTAAGTTCTTAAGCCGAGGTACCACTGTATTTAATTCTGTGAGTAGATTGCAGTCTCTTGGGAGTTGGCCACCCCTGGTATACAAGATTGCCATCAGACTGCTCAGGGGTCGGATAACTTCATATCTTCCAGCATTTCTCCAATGAAAATAGGGACATCCTAAGGAAAAGTGGGACATTCTGGGATCAAATCAGAAACCGGGATTCTCTAAATCAGGGACATCCCTGGAAAATAGGGACACTTGGAGGGTCTGGAAGACCATGACTGTTTAAAGTGGCATCTGTGCACTTCACATGTGTGGTTTGAATGTGGCCTGAGCTGGTGCCTACTGTTGACCTCCCCTGCCTTCTGCCCCTCCAGCTCCAGTGGGCATCAGCCCCCAATGCGAGAAGACAAAGCAAAGGGGCAAAACAAGAAGAGGTGCCAGGAAGAAGATGGGTTAAATTAGGACAGTTAGAGAACATAGTTTTTGATTCCTGACACCATGTTGCTCCATTGCAGACTCTCTTTCTCTCCATCTTCATGCTCTTAACTCGGCCTTGTCTCAGGGGCAGACTCCTAGCAAGGGCCCTTTCCTCTGTGAAATTACTCATTTTTCCTTTTAGATCCACACCGCTCTTGGTCTCCGGGGGTGGCATGCTGTCAGGTTTACAATCCTTTTAAAGGCCGTGCTTCTCTCTTTTAGAAAGCCCCCCGAGATAAGATTATCTTTGTTTTAACACTAGTTAAATCAAGAAGGGTTTATGATATAGTCTGGCGAGTGCGGGGAGGAGATCCAGCTTTTCATCAGCTCCACTTTGATGTCTCCCACTCCCTTCTCTGACTTTGGTCTCTGCTTAATAGTGGCCAGGCCCAGGAAATAGATGCAAGCTTTTAAGGAACAGTTCATACAAAGCCCCACAAACTCACAAGATGTGGGGATTCCTTCTGGAGAGCAGCTGGCCAGGAATTATCCCCTGTCTCCGGAATCGGGCCAGGAAGAAGGGCAAAAGCTCCACTTATAAAGACTTTTAAGAGAAGGGAATGAGACCTCCTAGATTTTGCACTGTGGTGGAGAACCATCTCCCCAATTGAGACACAATAGATAAGTACTGAGGGATGCGGATAGTGCTGTGGGTTAAACCACTGAGCCTAGGACTTGCCGATCAGAAGGTCGGCGGTTTGAATCCCCACAACGGGGTGAGCTCCCGTTGCTCGGTCCCTGCTCCTACTAACCTAGCAGTTCGAAAGCACGTCAAAGTACAAGTAGATAAATAGGTACTGCTCTGGCAGGAAGGTAAACGGCGTTTCCGTGTGCTGCTCTGGTTCGCCAGAAGCGGCTTAGTCATGCTGGCCACATGACCCGGAAGCTGTACACCGGCTCCCTCGGCCAATAAAGCGAGATGAGTGCCGCAACCCCAGAGTCGGTCACGACTGGACCTAATGGTCAGGGGTCCTTTTACCTTTACCTTTACCTTTACCTTTACCTTACATAAGTACTGCAGGGAAGAAATTCAATTGAGTTTGCATTGAAAGGCGAGCCTGCCTAAGTTGTGCTTTCCGGAGCAGGATGCAAACTGAAACACACTGCTGTGTGCTTCTCCAAGGTTTTTCGGTGCAGCTCTCTTGCCAAGTAGTAAGTAGAGAGAGAAAAAACACGCCCGCTCTAGGGAGAAGGTGTTGGTAAAAACACATGCATTTCCAGCATTGCAAGGGGTTGGGCTAGATGGCCCTTAGAGTCCTTTCCGACTCGACACTTTGCTTCTATGATGAGTGAAAATAACATACAGAAATGTGTTATATTAGGGGAAATATAAGCATTAGAGGAAATACGCTTTGCCAAAATGTGTCTATTGGAAAAGTTGCATTAAAAAATGTGTCAGGAAAAATTCACACTAAAATGCCAAGGGGTTTTCACAGGAAAACTTACAGGGTTTTTTTAAAAAAAAAAATGATGCAGAAACATGGAGGGTTGAATTTAAGATTGGGAAAAAGAGAAACGGCGAGAAACTGAAATTCTTTTAAGATAGAATGGGGGGGGGGGAATGTGTCATTTATTTGAAAAAACATTGTTAACAATTAAACCCATTAGCAGGATTAATCTAAAATTCACAGTCAAGGTTATTGATTGAGGAAATGTAAAGGAGTAAATTAAAAAATGGAGTTAGAAAGGAGATGCTTCTCAACAGAAGGAACCACGAAAGGGAGGAGGGGGAGTTGAAGGGAATATTCATATTTTTATTTGATGCTTGTATGATGTAAGACTGATAAACTGAAAATAAAATTGACACGCACACACACATAATGAAATGGATTGATTCACCCATAGATATATTTTAAAGAGCAGAGTAGCCTTGCTTGGGAGATGAGAAGGAACCTGCCCAACCTCTCAGGCAGCTTTGGGAAAGAATCTCTTGCTTTGCACTCTTCTCCTTGAAACCCTGACTTCTCGGACCTGGAACATATAATGATGAGTAGCTTCTTCTCTCTCCTGCCCCTTCCCCCACCGCGCCTGTTCCAGGCTCCATTGGATAAAAATGGAAGATTTGGAGCCACAGCGCAGCTGCACAGATGTGGGGAGCGCACAGCGAAGCATGAGCCACATGGCAGGGACCCAACCGCAGCCCATGTGGTCCACGGAGCCAGCGTGATGCTCTGCTTCTGGAATTCATAACCGCAAATGTGGAAAGCTCTTCAGAAATGATGGGAAAGGCCCGACTTGAAAGCTATTGCTTAAAATCTGGGTATAGGGAAGAAAGGTTTCTCGCTGCTGTTATCTGGCTCATGAGCCAGACCTTGACCTCAGAGCTTCATCGAGCTTCAAGTTTCTCTTCTCCGTGCAAAGGGAGGAGGCGGGAGCAGCTAGAAGGATCATTCAGTTTATAATGTAAAGGTCAGCTCTGCTATCAACAGGTCAACTCACCCTAAGAGGGTGGTGGAGGAGGTGTTGCTTAGCAACCAGATGGAGCGGCATGATGTTTGCTGAGATGAAATGTGCCCTGTTTGGCTGCGTAGTTCTGAGGGAGTTTCCCCATTGTTTGTTCAGTTGAATGTCTCCCTGCTATGTACAAGGCCTGACATAAGAAAGACAAAACCTCTCTGTTCCGTTCTCCTCAAATTTTACACTGTTTTGGTTCAGTTTTGGTTCAGTTTTCCTTGTTAAAGTGTGCTCAGGATTTAATTTCTTTCTGGACTCCATCTGTATTATTTAAGTGACTTTACTTACAGTTGCAACAACAACCATGACATTATATGTGTCCAGAATTTTTTTTACTAAAAAAAACCAGTCATGCATATATCTTACATAATTTGCTCTTCTTCCAAAATTCTGCTTTCAAAGGATACTACAAATCATGTGTGCAGTGTGTGTGTGTGTGTGTGTGTGTGAGAGAGAGAGAGAGAGAGAGAGAGAGAGAGAAACAGACAGACAGAGAAGAATCAGCCACATGGAAAAGGACATTAGCACAGTGGTTGAGCCAAAGGTTTGCAATAGAGAACATGATCTATAGTAATGGCTGAGAATCCGTGAAAGTGTTTCTCAGTAAGTTGCTTCTATGCCAGACATTAATTTTGGGATTTGGCTGGAAATTCATCACTGGACATTTAGAAAAATGCAGGCCACCATCCCATAAGCATCTATAGGCACACTGTTTTGCAGGTGCTGGTTTATATGTGTAGATGCAAATTTAGGTCTGAGCATATTGTGGCTGGGCAGGATATCCTTGGCACTGCATTTTGAAGCATGTCCAGCAACATTATAAGTAAAGTTGTTTTTTAAAAAATGAAGAAGGGCAGGTGGGGGATGCAGCAGGAAATCTGGGAACAGCACCCAATTTTTCTGTTTGATTTGTGTTTTGATTTAATGCCAGGGTGGGGAAGCCTTTCCACCTGGCCCTTAAGTCTCTCCCCAGGCCATGCATCCTCCTAAGCCATGCACCTTTGAACTCATGCCTTTTCCCTGTCCTGGGTGCCAGACAGAGAGAGGGGTAGGAATGTCTGTAGAAACAAGCCTACTGCACAAAGGTAAAAATATACCTCATCTGCCTACTTCTGCCCCTGCCCATCACTGCCATGCGGCCCTTAGGAAGGCTGTCCAGATGCTGAATGCAGCACTTAGGCTGGAAAAGGTTTGCCACCTCTGATTCAGCATATGGGCTTGC